TTCTTAATGGAGTTGACATCCAAATCTTTGTTTGCCAAAGGGCTGTGCTTCTAACACTGTGACTGGCTGAGAAGGACAGCAAGCCAGTGGTTCAGTTCTCACGTCCTGGGTGAAGGGATACTGGGCTGAATGATGCTTTTATAGAAAGCCATATATCACAAAAAGTGCCAGAGCTCATGTGAGACTCCATTAACCTGTTTTTATTTTTTTTGTTATCTTCATGATACTTCAGTGCAAAAATAAAAAATTAGGAGTACAGCATTTTGTGGTGAGGAATGAAGATTTCCTTGTCAGATACTGCAGTTCAGTTGTCATGGCACATAGTGTAAGTCATCCCATGGTAGAAAAAGGATTTGAGAATGTCATCTGCTATAGTGTTGGGAACTTTTCTCATACTTTCATAGGCAGTTTCAGTTCCCTCATATTCTCTCATGCAGAGTAGTCTCATGGGAAGGATTGTATTGAAACTTAACAACTGTGAAAGGGAATTTTTTAGGGTGGAAATAGTTTTAAAAATACCCTAGCAGCAAAAGTAATCTAATTTAAATCCTTAAAAAAAGGTGCAGAAATGCCCTAAATGCACTAAAAAAAAGTCCCTGGATATATATATGTGCTTAAAAAGGAAGTGAGTAAGCAAGGCAAAGCAAAGCACAGATCTCAAAATACAGAAGCTGCTTAGAACAAATTGGAAACTCTTCAAATACTGAAATTACAACTCAGGGGAAGCCATCAGAAAGGAGAAGATAGAGCATGGAAAAGATGAAGTCAGTTGGCTAAGAGGGAATTTGAGCTAGTCAGAGCATGGACCAGATTGATACAGATAGGGATTGGGAGGCGTCACAAGTGCGTGGGTGGGTTAGCCTGCCTGCCCTTGTCTGCATTCATCTGAAGTGTCAGGTGAGTAATGCCTTTGTAAGTCTGGCACAGAGACATATCCTTTAAAGTAACTGAGGAAGAAGTATGTGCTCAGAACATGATTTCAGTAGAGTAAAGGGAACAATTCATAAGGACCATGGGGGTGCTAAGGATGCAGGTCTTTGGCAGACCGCTGGAAATGCATAACCAGATCTCCTGCATCCTCCATTCAGCTGACAGGTAATGAGATGTAATTTTTATTTAGTGTCAAAAGCAGCATTGGCTAAAAGATGTAACTCCTACTGAAACTGATAGATACATCAACAGGAGAAAGCTGTGCAAGTTTAATCTACTTTCAAGCGATGAAGTGGTGAAGAGCTGTTTCCTTGAAGAATTTTGACAAATTGTTTAATGTGAAGTGTATGGAACAGGAGAGATGTTTTTAGTCTGATGGTAGCCCAGAAGTAAAGGTCATTGAAATATTTCGTTCTATTTTAAGCAGTCTTTCACGTTGGTATCTTAAGTCAAGTATTGGGACTTGCAGAGCTCCTCAGATATGCAGTGATGACTCTGGTTATCCAGCTGAGCATCGGTTGATGCCAGGTGTAATAAAATATAGCTGCATTTAAAATCTAATGATTGTCTAACAAGACTGGTTGTTTGGGACATCTGTCATCAATAATTATGACAGATCTATAATTGTGTCTTCAACAGAATATGTCTGTAACATAGGTAAGAAATGTGACCTTGGGATGCCTTACTGCATTTTTCCAGGAGACTCTTGGATGCTTTTTTCACAGTGCATAATGTGCCACTGCTAGCTCCTCTTTCTCATTAGGAGACACAAATTTCTCTTCTCATGGAGGAATATTGGCACTAATTTTCTCCCTTAAAGTTTTGTAAGATCCTTCCCCTGAAATTTTTTTGAGGCATAAAATGCTCTCCAAAGTTCAAGATTTAGATAAATACAGGGTTCTTGTAGTTTGGTATTTTAAAAGGGTTCTTTTGAAGCAGTGCATAGGTATTGTAAATAGGTGACTTCCAACAAAAGATCCTTTTGATGTGAAGCTGTGAGAAAAAGTATATCTCAAAGACCTTAAGAGGGAGAAAGGAGCCTCCCATTAAGTCCATTAAGAGCATTTGTCTTCAGAAAAGTTAGGTTTAAATCCTACAATAAAGGAGGTGGAAAAAGACAATGCCATTGCTCTCCTGCTTGCTCATGGACTCAGGACTCCCATGCAGAAGACATAGGTTAACTGTAGCCTGATATACAAGAAAAAAAACTCCAGAAGCATCCTGGGACATAAAAAAGAAACTTATTTTTTCCTTTTTACTATCTTTGCTAGCAATCTTGTATATTCTTATAGCAGGAAACGCGCAATTTTTAATAATTTCTTCCTGGTTCTGTTTTGCCTCCCTGCTATTGCTCTAAATGTAAGTGTTGTGGTTCTGGCTTTTCAGCTCCATTAAACGGTGTCTTGCACAGAGCATTGGTAGTGTGGAAGGTGCCTTAAAACTGGATATCCCCAAAAAGATATGGGAATTCTCCTTATTGTAAGTGACTGCTGAAGTAACTGCTGGTTGATGTTGCTTAGAGGCTGCAGGATGGCTTCAGAGAAGCAGGCTTTTCTCAGCTCACTCCCGTGTGGTTCAGTGGTTATTGGAGAGTGTTCCAGTTGGCCTGGCTCTGGACTGAGAGCTCGATGAGGCTGGGCCAAGTGCGCTTTCCAGAATATAGTCACCTCTGTGACAGAATCTGTGTGGCCTGAAAGCTGTCAGAGGTGTTCAGTCCTTTCCAGAGAAGAAGAAGGCAGGGACTTCTTGGAAGGGATGCATGCTCAGGTTTTGGTTCTAATTACAATTCACCCCTAAGCAGAAACCTAATACAAAACCTGGAGCTCAGAAAATATTTTGGGTATAAATAAGTTTAAAAGAGTTGGTTTTAGAGACCCCCACATCTGGGATGTGGGGAACACAGCTGTTGCAAATTGAGACTCAGAAGCTGAGAAGCAGAGGGCATCTTATGTTAATATGACACTACACGGAGGTCCACAATCCTGAAAGCTTTCAGTTGCTGTACTTGCTGCTTAAAGTTTTCCATGCTATCTCTATATTCATTAGCAGGTTTTGTCTTTTTTAAAAGAGGATATGATAAGACCAAAACCAAACAAAGCTGTAGTTTTATGATGTTTGTTGGTGGTATTCAGGCATTCATTTTTGAGCCATTCAATCAGTTTCTGTGTGCCTCAACATATATAAATAATATATGACTATATGGAGGATCCCTGCATGGTTTTGATGCCAGTAATTCTACTGATACCTGACATACCTATATAGACCCTAGTGGAAGTGATTCATCTCTGGGTACTGTTGTTCTTCTACCTTCCTCTCCTCAAGGGCTAAGATTTTTAACTTACAGAAAAATCATTCAGTTTCCAGTAGAATTTCTCCATGAGACTATGGTAGCACAAGTGCTTGGCCTGAGGGGTGTTTCAAGTCTTTGGGTAAGGAGTGCTCCTTGAATTAGGGTATTACTCTGTGCAGAAATCACTTTTCAGGTCTCATGCCTGAGCTGAAACAAAGTGCGTGCTGATACTGTTTCTCAGGAGGAAAAGTTAAAACAGATGGCACTGCTAACAAGCACCTGATGGCTCTGAAAAACTGAGTCCTGTTGAGTTTCAGTAGCCTGTAGGAGCTACCAAGCCTCAAGTACCCAGGAAAGGAAGTGGATCCACAAGCCCCAAAATTCCCAAGTTCTTCAGCTCCTAGCTAAGTACCAGTAAGTACTGTCTGGTACCTCATATGTCAAGGCTTTAGGTTTCAAGGCAGGGTCTCTGAGGAAGAAAGAACAAATGGTCCCATCTCAGGCACTGGGATCAGAGCTGTCTGCTCAGCAGCACCACAGGTGTGATGGATTCAGGTCACAGCTGTGAGGGACAGTAGGTCTCCAGATCTTCCAGCATCAGAAAGATCTCAACGTTGAGTTCCCTTCGTGTCCTTTGTTCCTGCTAGCACTGGAAGCAGTGACAGGGGCTGTGGTCCCCTGAGGAGCAGAGTCAGCACTGCCAGGTGGAAAGGCAGGGATGGGGACACTGGGCCCTTCGTTGGGTCGTGCCTTTTTCAGAGGTGTGAGACTTGCTTGCTTTTCACTCCGTCAGGATTGTCGCCAGGTTTCAGGGGACGTTTCAGAAAGGCTTTTGAGATTGGTTCACTTTTGCATGTGCCACAGGAACCACGTATTGTCATATTAATTTTAATCACGTGGTCTTGTGTGTGTGTTTGGGAATAATATAAACTATGAAAATGAATGCTGACAAATGTTGAACGAGGAGTAGAAGTAATCCAGGTATCTATTTGGATCCATCCAGACGTCCCAGCAGGTATTTTTGTTTTCAAAATTTGTTCTGCTACTCAAGAAGAGATAGACTGAAAGACAGAGATACCTGATCTAGTTGAAGATGTCCCTGCTCTCTGTGGATGGGGTGGACTATGTGATTTCTAAAGGTCCCTTCCAACACAACCCATTCTATGATTCTATTAAAAAAAAAACCCAAACAACAAACAACCCAGCAAGCCCCATTTTACCTTTTGGCAAGTGTTACTGTGTAACAGAGATCCAACAAAAAACGGGATTTTTCATAATACTATACAGTGTTGGTAGTACTTCATCTTCACAGAGGAAAATTATAGTGAGATTGAGAAGTAACTCCTGTGTGACATTACAGGTGTTGGTTGCTTCATGCCAGATGATCCTAATGTGCATCAGGTTTATCTTAATCAACATTTCATTGAAACACATTTTTCTTCCTCTAATAAAAGTGGTACATGATCACTAACTAAAACTCATTGTTAATTTTGAAATAAAGATTGTCTTGGAAAGCATCAGCAGCCTTTTAGTTGCAGAAGATCCCACTAGGCAAGCACAGGCTGTGTCCATTGCTGCCAGCCCAGGTTTGGCCCAGGTTTTCTCTGAGTCTGGAGCAGTTCTCCTAATTCACCTTTTTTTATTTAGGCTTTTCAATTTAAAGAGCCAGAACTAGCATAATCTGAAGGGGCTGGTGACACTTCCTGCTGCGTTATGGTTTTGGAAATTAACTGTCCTGCTAGTAAAATTGGCATAATATCTATTTGCAAATGCTGTGTACCTTTTTTCAGAAATGACAAGATAGCTTTCAGGTAGGACGACATAGTAGTAACACAATGCTCCAGTTTTTCCCAAATTAGTATTTTTTTCATTAATTTCGGTATCTTTTCCAATTCTCATACTTTATACAAGTCATGCGGTTATGGGTAGTTCCTTGGTAATTGAGTATTGCCTGCTAGCAGTTTTTCTGCATATTCTTCCTATACTGCCTGTCACTGCACTGTGGAATTAAGTTTAACTTTTGTGACCGAGGTATTGCACAAAGGCCACTTGGTAAAAACTCCTGGTAGACATTTTAAATAGAAAGGGTAAATCTCTGGGGGATGTGAAAGAGCTCCCATCGGCTTTATTTGAGACAGGAGTTTACCTTTAATGTTTTCATAAATAAAGTTTCTCTCAGAAGGTTGGTTACCTTCTAAATTGCTTAAAATGTTACACCATATAGATTTGAATTTACCCATGTCTAAGGGTTCTTTCATTAAAATAAAAATGGCAACCCTGCAACCTGGGCTAAATATAATCCTGTAGCATACCCAGTGTGTCACAATAAGAAATAATTAAGCACAGTCGGAAGAGGATGGTTGTCACAGAGCCTGTAGTTGCACATCTGGCAGTGAATTAGCAATTCAAATTGTATCCACTGTGGGGAAAACCAACAATGTGGAAATAGTTCCCATTTTTCAATTCTATTATTTTCTATTATGTCTGTTTAATTCCACAGGGAGCAATTTGAAAGCAAGCTGATACGAAACGGGAATGACTCACGGTCGGGCTTTTGTCGCTTCACACGTTTCAAATGTATAATGCTTTGAGCCTGATCTTGTAATACTCTCTCACGTATCTGGGGCCTTTTTTGTTTTGTTTTTTTGGCTGTCTTTTGCCTCTTTCCTCTTAGTACATGAGGCCCAATCTTTGGGACAGCCTGCGTGCAGACAGACCAAAGGCTGATGACAAGAGATGCTGCCAGAGGCCACCACAGCTCAGAATTGCACCCTCAGGGAACTTTTGTCTCTGTTACTACTGGAGAGGTGGGCTTACACATCAGCCATTGCTATTAGTTCTCTGAAGTGAAAAAGTGGCAGATAACTCAACACATTAAATAAGTTCATAAAAATGCAGCCTTTCAGGGGGTATTTGGTTTTGTTGGTTTTTTTTAAGAAAACCTAGGTATCTTCCTAATTGTTTCTCAGATAAGAAAAAACAACTCAGCACACCTGTCTACTGTTTGATTGGCAAACATGGGAAAGCTGTGTGCTTATTCATACAGGTGTCTTTAGGTGTGGAGGAAGGCAAAGGGAAGACTGTCTTGGGAAGGCAGTAGGGCATTTCTGCATATCTGGAATTATCAAGTGGGTTTGAAAAGTTTCAAGAGAAGGCAGAGTCAAAGCTCAAGTCCATAAAGGAGTTAATTTCAAATACTTTTTCTTTCTACAGAAAAAGATTTTCTGTGAAGACCATGAAATAACAATAGCTTGTCAGGGAAAGGGCATAGAATAACAAATATTGCTTGGTTTTGGAAAATGAAATACTACCAGTATTAATGAAACCTTAGTGTTTAGACTTACTTGTTTACTTGTTTAGACTTAGCCCTTCTGAGCTAGTAAAAAGTGCAAGCAAAATAGGAGTTTTCTGGTTGCCCCAAGACCAGCGGTACCACGTAGTAAATGCCAAGATGCAAGGAGCAGTGGCAGAGGAAACCAGCGGAAACCCGCAGCTGGGAAGCAACAGGTTGTTTTCCCTGCCATGCTGCAGGCACCTTGTCACCATCATGTCAGGCGAGTCCTGTTTGCACGGGAGGCTGGGCAGTGTCACCATGCTGGAGCTGTTCTGCAGTGCTGCAGCAGCTGGGCTCCGTGTGCTGAGCTGCCAGCCCGGAATCAAACCCACATCGCTCCTGGAGGGCAACCCGGTCAGTGGTTTGATGAGGGAGTGAAACTGCCTGCTGTTTCATTGGTGACAGGGAAAGATGTTAAGGTCCCTGGGAATGGGGTGAAAGCATCTTCCTCCTACCCCAGGGACAGAAAATCAGTGCAATGCCCCAGGCAGGGACTGTCCCACAGCCTGCAAGCAGGGGCTGTGTGGGAAGGCTCAGGTGGCTCCCGGGTTTACAATACTTACCTCCGTACAAGTTTCCTTGAAGTGTATTCGATCCGTTACATGTATGTGGAAAATGCCCTGCAAAAGTGAGGTAGTTAAATCTGACAGGCAAGTGTTACCTCATCAAATTACACCTGTTGAAATAAATATAGTTGCCTGCTTTTGAATTTGAAGAATATAAGCAGATATTACAGTCCTTTCCCAGCATACATTACCTCCTAATTTTCCTGTTAGTGATAGGACACGAGGCAAACATTGAAATATTTAATACTTGTGAGATATTTTAGAAGCAATAAGCCATATAAGCATCCCAGAACAAAAAGAAGAAAAAAACAGAGACTTAGTGAATAGATGTCAGCCTTTTTCTTAAAATTGATCACCCAAATTGTCTTTCTCTAAGACCCAAGATTGTGAAATGCCTTTAACTGATTCTTGTAATTTTATCTTTCTGTGGACATTTTTAGCTTGACCTAGTTTATGCTTATTACAGTCAGTGCAATTGATGTATGAGCAGAGGCTCAATGCACAGATGGATGCGGGTAGAGCTGTGGTATTTTGGTGTGTATCTATGTGATTGTTATGGTGCATTTCACAGATTACAAACGTACAGTGAGTGGATTGTCCGCTAAGGGTCTGCATTCAAATTAAAAAAATAATTACCTGGAGGTTTCTAGTAAGATGATGCTGTTGCACTGTGTGTCTCCTGTCTCAGGTCTAGCACTCTCTTTTCTGCTATCCTTAAGGCTATGAAATCCCCTTGCTGTCAGGTGTCACTAAAAATACTGCAGTCTTTCTTTGGAGTGTTAGTACTAGATCAGTAGAAACTCTTGTGCTCGGTCCACGACTCAGTCACCCTATTAGACATAGACAGTAAATGTGGGGCAAAACAGATTAACACCACTGACTAACTGGATAAATACGTGTGATCCCTGTGATAAATACTGCAGAGAGGAAGAATTTTAAAAACACAAGGTCTCCTTTGTTACGGGTGCAAAGGAGAGCAGCTCCATGTCAGGCCTTGGTGTTTCAGGACTGTGGTAGCTGGGGTGCAGGCACTGAACCCACAGCTGCACACTCCTGGTGCCACTACCAGCCCAGCTCCCTGGTGCTGTATCTGCTGGAGCACGGATTTCCATGCTAGACCTGCTCATAAGGCCACATGCCTGGATACTGAGTAGTTATGTGAAAAAATTGCTCTGCAGAGCTACGATGTGTGTTTTTCTGAAGCAGTACATCCCCAGCAGACTGGAATGAGGGCTGCTGGCTTCGTGCTGGGCTGCTTACAGGGAAAACCAGCCACTGCATTTAAAGAGTTCAGCATCTAGCTCTCTTGTACTACTGTTATTATTTGGACAAGTTGAGCGTGCAGGAAAGTACAGTTCACAATTCTGTAATTAATATCCTCTGTTAACTAGTCTACCATCCTTCATCTGCCAATCTGCAGAGTTTGAAAATATAGTTAAAATATATCCATGGCAAAATACGTTGTTTTGACAACTAACTAACTACATAAATAAACATATAAATAACTAAATAGAAATTATTATTACTATTTCTCTATTCCAAGATAGTAATTGTAATTGCCTTTGGTGAGCTTAACATGAATGTCGGCCCTTCTGTTGTGTTTGCTCCTTGCTGTCCACAGAACACATTGCTCTTGAATAGATGTCTAAAAATACCGTATTTTCCACTTCCCTGTTTAGTTAATATTTCTAGTACAGTGATTGCATCAGTTCTGATTTATCACTAAATTGTTGGTGTGTGTCTTATAGGAAATAGGAGTTACAGCAAAGCCTGTATGGTTTGGCAGCTTTTCTGTCAAAGGGCAAGTGAGGATTGTTCATGTGATATAAAAACTAACACAAATGTTCAAATACTGTCATAATTAATTTCACAAACTTGCTTCTCTTCCTTCCCAGAGTCATGTCCTGTTGTTCCCTTTAAGATTTTAAGGTGTTCAGAGAGTTTATCTGGAAAGACTCTACCTCATTATTTGCACTACTGCAAGCAATAGCATCTTTAAAAAATATATGATTTTAAAGTCTACCTGTATTGGCTGAACTTTTAAGGTTATTGCTACAAAGCAATAGCAATTGGTACAATCATGTTATTATCAACAGTTTTGTGCAAATATCCAACATGAGATTTTCAATTGTTAAGGGGAAGAAGCTCATTTTTGGCTATAGGATTTTGATACTCATGTTAGTTACTCTCACTTAATTCAACAGGCCTCCATTTTGCATATTCGCTATTGTTAGTCTCTTCCCAGAGGTGGATTGAAGGAGTTGGACTCTAAAGGTAACAGGAAACTTCCTGCCTCTAATTTTGAAGTAGAAATACAAAGACCAAACCTTCTGCTTTTAAAAATATTGCAGTATTGCCAAGGAACATTCTCTTATTTTGTGTCAGATAAATGCAAAAGCAACTCCAAATGCTTAGCAAGACATTTGAAAATGGTCTGATTTAGGGAAAAACCTATTACTTTCTCCAGGTGCCTGAAAACTGAGGGAGAAAATCAGAAGTTTTACCATTCATTCACTGCTGCTCTGATTATTTTAGCTAATGAATATAGAGTTCTTAGAAAATCTGGGATAAGAAGGTGCAAAATTTGGTCTGTAATTGTAAACTATCTAAACCCATGCCCACACATCATGAAAAAGGAAAAAAACCCTAGGGTCTCCTAAGATCATAAGAAAGGTGCTTTGTCTGATGAACCGTGAAGTGGAAGATGACCACACTTCCTTCATATTTCATTTCACTTCTGTACAGTTTTGCCTTTCTCATCTGTGCAAGCGAAGGAAGATCTTAACAAACCTTTGTGTTGTTTTTACTACAGTGCAGCTTATTTGCACGAAACGAAGTCACCTTAATTGCTATTAAATTAAAAATAAAAGCCAGTGGAAACTGATAGATTCACAGCCTATTTCCTGATCAAGGCATTTCAAAA